TTTTTTATAGAAATTGTTTGATGTTAAAAGATTTAAATTAAAATTTTTATTTAATTTTTGTAAAATTACTAATTATTACATTCAACTTTTAATTATGAATAAATTAAAAAATTGAAATATTAGCAATAAAGATAATAGAGTTTAGTGATTTAACAATTGGTGATGAATTTAAGATAGTAATAATGAGTATGACTTCCGAGAACTACATATATACTTGCTTTGATGAAGATGCTCTTCATTTAAGGCAAAATAAATGAATTAGTAATGATGCTTCATCTATTTAACATTTGTCTTTATTGTGGATTTGGTTTAAGACTTTTTTTTGTATATTCAAAACTTATTTTTGTAGTGAATTTAATTTAAGATTGAGTTTTTTATTATTATCATTTTTAATGAACTTTTCTTATATTATGTATTTTAATATTTGTTAGTTTAGATTTTAAAAATTATACGTATTTAATTAAATTTATTATTTTAAATGGTTTAAATGATGATTTTCAAATTGATCTTATGATGATTATTTTTAAGAATAAAATAAAAGTAATATACAATAGTAAATTCTAATAAATATGTTAAAAAAACTGTTCTTTAATTTGATCGGTTGAACCGATGGATGAATTGGTTCAACCAGTTCAATGAGACCCGGTGGCTAAACTGGGTCAACCACTAGGCGGGGCCCAAAAACATTGGTTATGATAATTAACAACAACACAACTCTATTTTCTTTTACATCACACTAACTAGACAAGGTTAGTTGTTTAACATCATACAAGTTTAAAACCCTAACTTAATCTCAAAATAAGGTTTTGTTACAACTTAGTGAAACTCTTGCCAGTATAATAGAAGTCTACAATTCCATGTAATTGAGAAAGAAACTCACCTCATTATAATTTATTAATGCGACAAAATTTTATTAATCTAGTTAGAAATGCTAGCGATACTCTCCTTCTATACTTTTTATAATACTTTCAACATAATTAAACAATGTAACATGTATTAAAATTTAGTATAATTTGTTACATCTTGTGACACATAATAAAATTAAAATTTAATGAAAGTAATTGATCAATGTAGTTATGAATTTGAGTTTGTGGCATGTTTATGGCCATGCAACAAAAGTGTTAGGTTAATTAAAATTTTTAAATATAATCTTTTAAAATACTAATTTTGTTTAATTTGACTAATAAAAATAATTAATAATTATAATTATTAATTAATAAATAATAAAATTGTTAATATTCATTAATTAATAAATTAAAATTAAGTTAGATACTAATATCTGTAAATATTATAATTAACTATTTAATTCACAAGATAGACCAAGTAATTAAAACCTTTCCTAAGAGATGAGATTAGAAGGAAAATAAAGATTTCAGACCCTAACCATAAAACCATAAA